TCTCCTCCTCCTCCACCTCCACCACCACCACCACCTCCACCTCCACCTCCACCTCCACCTCCACCTCCACCTCCACCTCCACCTCCTCCTCCGCCCCACTTCCACTTTCACGTCCACCTCCCCTACCTCCTCCGTCTCCTCCTCCACCTCCACCTCCGCCTCCACCACTTCCTCCTCCACCTCCTCTACCTCCTCCGTCTCCTCCTCCTCCACCTCCACCTCCACCTCCACCTCCACCTCCTCCTCCACCTCCTCCACCTCCTCCTCCGCCCCACCTTCACCAGCTGTTGAGCGCCATCTGCCTCTCAACCATCAAATTTATGGTCAACTTGAATATCAGATGAAGGAAATCGCTTTCGAATGCAAGGCCGGACTATCGGGAAATTCAGATAGCGGAATCGATTCCCACTCTTTGCTCTAAGCTTTTGATAGTGTGGGTGGATAGATAGGGTTGATAGATGGATAGATAGATAGATAGATGGGTAGATAGATAGATAGATAGATAGATAGGTGGATAGGTGGATTTTGCTTTTTTTTTTTACTTATTTTTGTTTTTTACTTTTCCTTGTTTTTATTTTTCTCGCTTTTCTTTCCCTTTTTTGTCTACTTTTTTCCTCTTTTTTTTTGTTTTTCGTTTGTGTGTGTGTGTGTGTGTGTGCGTGTGTGTGTAGATGGATAAGCATCACATATATATACAGATTGATAGATAAAGACAATATATCCTTTTCTTTTTCTTCATTCTTTCTTCTCCTTCCTCTTCTCTTCCTTCTCCCTCGTTAGTAATCGTCACGCTATTTCTTTACTGGAAATTAGAAAAGAATTTGACGAGAGGTACACTAACATCTCCCCCTTCTCCTCCCCCCTCCCCTCCCCCCCTCCCCCCTCCCTCCCTCCTTGTTCAGACACTAACATCCCCCCCCTTCCCCCCCGCCCCTCTCCCCTCCCCCCCCTCCCCCCTCCCCTCCCTCCTTGTTCAGTATAATGAGTTTAATACCAGTGTAGTCCTAAATGAGTTGAACTTTCCCCTAATTCTCGGCTACCGGGGAAAAGTTTTGAAATCGAGGCCAAGGGAAGGGGGCGAGAAAGAGGGGAATAGGAGGAGGAGGAGGAGGAGGGAGATGAAGAGGAGGAGGAGGAGGAGGAGGGAGATGAAGAGGAGGAGGAGGAGGAGGAGGGAGATGAAGAGGAGGAGGAGGAGGAGGAGGGAGATGAAGAGGAGGAGGAGGAGGAGGGGATGGATAGGAGAAGGAGGAGGAGGGAGGAAGAGGAGGAGGAGGGGGGAGGAAGAGGAGGAGGAGGAGGGGGAAGGAAGATGAGGCGGAGGGAGATGAAGAGGAGGAGGAGGAGGGGGGAGGAAGAGGAGGAAAAGGAGGAGGAAGGAAGAGATGGAGGAGGGAGATGAAGAGGAGGAGGAGGAGGGGGGAGGAAGAGGAGGAGGAGGAGGGGGAATGAAGATGAGGAGGAGGGAGATGAAGAGGAGGAGGAGGAGGGGGGAGGAACAGGAAGAGGAGGGAGATGAAGAGGAGGAGGTGTAGAGGAGGAGGAGGAGGAGGAGGGGAATGGAGAGGAAGAGGAGGGGGAGGGGGAAGGAAGAGAGGAGGAGGAAGATGAAGAGGAGGAGGTGTGGGATGGATAGGAGGAGGAGGAGGAGATGAAGAGGAGGAGGAGGAGCGGGATGGATAGGGGGAGGAGGAGGAGATGAAGAGGAGGGGGAAGAGGGGAGGGATGGAGAGAAGGAGGAGGAGGTGGGAGGAAGGTTAAAGAGGGATTAGGAATTAAAGAAGGCAATAGAAAAGGCAAATGGGAGGGGGGAGACGAATGGAAAGGAAGGAAAGGGTTGAAGAAGTGGAAAAAGGAGTAGAAGGGATGGGGAGAGAGAGGAGGTAAGGGGAGTAGGGGAGGAGGGAGGGGGGAGTGAAGGGGCAGAGATGAGGTTTGAAAAGGGTTAATGGAAGAGGAAAAGGGTAAAAGTGTGGGCTCTGTGGGGGCAGGGAGAGGGAAGGACGGGTGGGAAATGGGAAAGGGCAAGAGAAAATGTTCGCCGGGATTGGAATAGAAGAAGAAAAACAAGAAAAATATATGTGGGAGCGAAAAGAATTAGAAAATTGGAGGTAGGAATACGAGAAGAAAAAGATTGGGGTGGGGTGGGGGGGGAGGGGAAGGCAGCCTGGGGAGAAGGGAGAAGGGGGAGGGGGAGGGGGGTTGGCACCGTCTGGGAAAGACACGGGAATGAAAATTCGTTGCAACATTATCGGCCTCAAACGATGCAATTACCTCATACAAATTTCGCAGGTAATAGAAAAATGAGGGAATTTTATACTTCCGGAGAGCATTTGTCAGCAAAACTGATATGCAAATGTGAGGGACATCAAAACTTTTATCGTTTTCATTTTTCATGGCTTCATTTGTTTGCACCTGCTTCGCTATTTCCATTTTCCTATTGCTAGTTTGTCTCTTTATACGTAAAAATCATCATTCATATTTCTCTATTCATATTTTT